AGGGGTCATTGGTCTGGCTTCATAATCCAGTCAGAAGGAAGGGAAAATCTCCAAAGCTGCAACCGAGTTGGGAAGGTCCTTACGAGATAGTCACGAAGATCAATGACATTACTTACAGAATTCGGAAGTCTTCAAGGAGCCCTTTGAAAGTTGTCCATATAGACAGGTTGGCGAGGTATTACGGCAGCAACGATGCTCGGGACGAGCGAATCTAAGAGGGGGGCAGTGTGACAGAAAACTCTTTGACATCATGACGTCAATGGATGGTTGTCAAACGTTGCCTAGAGATTGTTAATTTCGTCGTGAATTGTCAACACGAGTTGGTGTAATCGGTAAGGTGTGTGGATTACACCACAGAGACCCCGAGTTCGAGACCCGCCGTAAACATGAAGTTTTTTAGTTGATGGAAGTTTTGTCGAACTTTCTGGAATATTTGAGTGAAAGTAATGAAAAATTAAGGAGCGAGAAGGAGAATAAATAAAAATGAATAACGAAATTATTGGAAGGTTCTGGAGGCATGACGATCAAAAAGAATAACGAAATTGAATGTTCTAGAACCTGACCAGGGGTATATAAGCGGAACTGCGGCTCACCGCTGGCAGTTGAGTTCTAAGTCTAAAGCGATTCGGAAGAAAAGGAAGAAGTGAAAAAGAAGAAAAGTGAGTGAAATAGTGAAGTGCAGTGAAATAGTGAAGTGCAGTCAGTTAAGTGAAGTTAGCGTGAACGGCAAAGTTGTGTCAGTCGGCCGGACTCTGCTGGAGAGGAACGCCGATAACTTAACTCCGTGGACGCTGTAACTTAAGCGCAATAGAAAGTCTGAAAACCGGTATTAGTGTTTCATTTCATCCAATCCCGTAACCCAAGCCCGCATAGTCAGGAACGTGACGTCAGGCACGTAACAGTATATAAATGTAAAATGAAATATATTATATAATTCATTACAATAATATTACCTATTATTATTTTATTGATATAGTGCCCGAAGCATAATTTAAGTATTAATATACCGCATCAGCTTTTCAAACCTACTGTGTGTAATTAAATAAGTAATTTAAATTAATCACGAGTTCCGTTGTAACAATAAAAAATAATATTTAACTTGCAGTATAAAGTTATGCTTTGGTTTGCAATGCAACGACATTACTTAATTTTGAATACCGCCCTTTCTGTCAGTGTGGCGCTAGTGTCGCATATTGTAAATAATGATACCAGAGTATAAGAAATTACCCATTTTGTGGGTAACATAAGATGCTTTCATATAAGCTATGGTTGTTTGGGTTATAAGGAAATTAACAACTACCACATTTAAAGGTTTTTGAAATATGGTCCAGAAAAAACGTACTGCATGAAGTAAAGATAAATATCCCATGCTATGTTTGAGTTTTTTGGCAGAAAAGAAGCAACCCATCTCGAATATGTTTATAATTTTATTGTAAGCCAAGTAAGTCTAAATACAAAGATTGTATAAAATATCTTCAATATTTTGACCTGCTTTTGACCTACGTTACTTGGATTGATAAAATTCAAAAAACGAAACCAAGAGTGGCCAACGCTCTCTTGGTTTCGCTTTTTGAAGCGTCTAGTCACTTAAGCGAATCTAAAATTAATGTTATTATTTTAAATTTATTTTAGCGTAAATTCATGTAATCATAATATGTATGTTAGGTTTTTATTTTCAATATTTTAGTTTTTAATAATATATTTATTTCGTTCCGGTGTAGTAAGAGCTTCGTAATCAGAATCGATCGATCAATAAAGTTCTTAAACAATTAAACTTTCGCTTATGTGTCCCTCCTCCCCTAAACACCACTTTAAAAAAGCTGTTTAGTTTTTTTATAAACTGTAATAATTTAATTTATTTTTATTATATGATAATATATAAACATACTATGTATTATTGAGTTCTTAGAACACAACTGAAGATATAATCGATTATGTTTACGAAGTGTCAAAGTAAAACATTGTTTTTATTTTATTTGGCTATTCGGTATTGCTGCTTTATCTTTATTTTCTCTGCTTCCTATACGTTTTAATTACAGTTTTACGGTAACTTCTAAAGGATTATTTTCAAAACGACATTGTTTTGACATCTTATATAATTTCGAATAATGTACTGAGTAAATAATGATTTTTTTTAAAACCCCGCATAATTTTAATATTTTTTGTACTTTGTTTTGATATACCAAAAACCATAACTTGTTACCAATTTTCGCTACTATACTGTGCCAAAAATAGCGCTACTGAATGCCATAGTAGTTTGCTCAATGTCTTTTAATTATTGATAACAATATATAGGGTAAACGCACCAGTAAGGGACAAGGAACCAGTAATGGAAAAATAATTAAAATCTCGGAATAAGGACGTGTACCACTTTTTTATTTGGATTTTTAGTAAGATAGATATTATCTGAGGAATAAAGTTGTTGCTGTCACTGTCTTATACAAACATTCTGACGCGGCAGCATCATAATTATACTCCAGGTAACTTACATCTTACCATTGAAACATCAGCCCTAAAGCTATAATAGTAGGTACAAAGTTTATTTTATTCTGTCAGTTAGAACGAAAAGTGGCGGGCGTTCGAATTTGCGAACGCTTTTGAATTTATTAGTGCGGTGAATAAAAAGTTTCACCTTTCTACTGGTCTTGCTTTATTTTAATCAGATTTTTTTTGTTTGTTGATTTAATAATGAAATGAAGACAGCACACATTTTTGTTGTTATATACTTAGTCGGGTCATAAGTTCTGTCACAAACTTTTGATGTAATAACTTATACGCCTTTTGACAATTATTTAAAAATTATATATGAAATGAAAGGTCATTAAATGTACAATATAATTTTATTTACATTATTCGAAATGCCCTCCCCCATTTTGAACACATGCCCTTAATCTACGCGGCCAGTCATCGATCGCTGCACGCACCACATTCATATCTATGTCTGCCGCTGCTTTAACCAGAGATGCTCGGAGAGACTCCAAATTCGGGTGAGGTTTAGCACAGACTTTTTCCTCCAAATATTGCCATATCTTGTAGTCCAGTGGGTTTAAATCTGGACTAGAAGAGGGCCAGTCTTCATGCCGGATGAAGTCAATTCCACGAGCGATCAACCAGTCTTGCGTACTTCGTGCCTTATGAGCCGGTGCAGAGTCCTGTTGGAATATCCAATGCCTGTTCCTGAACATTGTCTGAGAAAGAGGTTCCACTATGTTTGTTAGGACAGTATTTTGATAAACTTCGGCACTAGTTCTCACACCTTTTTCACAGAAAAACACCTCAGTTACGCCTGAATATGAGACTCCAAGCCAAACCATGAATGAGGAAGGGTAATGCCCACGCTGGACCCTCGCAATACGCGCGCTTGCTTCTTCACTGCTGTGGGCATACACCTTATCATTTTGTTTGTTAAAACTTTCTTCAATAGTAAAAATTTTTTCATCCGAAAAAAGAATTTCGCGGTATTTTTTTCCCGCGTACCGTCGTAGCAAAGCGCGGGATCTGTCTAGCCTAATTTTTTTTTAAACGCTCGTTCAAAAAATGTCCTGTCTTTTTACGATAAGCTCGTAGTCCCAGGTCTTCATTTAGTACTCTTTTAACAGTGGTTCTGCTTAGCCCCATCTGCAGAGCTAGGATTTTTTGTTTACGTACGGGATTTCGTTCGATTCGCGCCTTCACTGCTTTGATGACCTTATGTGTCCGAACTGTGCGAGGTCGGCCGCTTCTCTTACGATCTTCGAAGCTTGACTCTTCGGTGTATCGTTTGATAGTACGATAAACAAACCGTAACGTTATTTTCAAATTTTGAAGAATATTGAAAATGTCTTTTGGCGCGTAACCACAGCGGTGCAACGCGATAACCGCGATTCTGTCTTCTTTATTCGACCACTCCATATTTAAAAATGAATAAAAAATAATTTCTTTTTTATTTTCTACAAGCGCGAAAGTTCTATTTTTAAAATAAGTCGAAGAATTTCTGGCCAGTAATCGAAAATTAAAAATATAAGGTTTTGACAGAACTTATGACCCGACTAAGTATATCAGAGAGGTTGTTTTTGTTGGATTTTTATTGATGTTCATAACTGGTCCTATGTAACTAAAGAGTTCCATTAATGGACAAATGGACATCGATATGAAATGATAATAGAATATCTAATTTATTGTTATTGAAATGGGCTGACCTATTAAAACAGTAAATATGGGTTTGAATATCCGAAGTATTGAACATTTTGTCTGTTAAGCACGATGACATTTTCAACCAAAGAAAAGACATCGTGGAATCCATTAGCCCTCCAGTATGTAATTTCAAAGAGATACTTATATTTTACTTTTTGAATTGTCTCCGACGATTATAAAGACGAGTTTATTCAATCATGTAATGTCATGTGATACCATGATCTCACAGAAAACCGGCGCGAAACAACCACAGCGTTGTATTTTACCATGTGAGTTAGGTTACAGGAGGCCCAATCCTTCCCCTTTCCCAATCCCTAAATCGCCAAATCCTTAATCCCCAAAAGGTTGGCAACGCACTCGTAACTCCTCCGTTATGGTTGTTCCTCGTCGGCGCTGGTTGCTTACCATCAGGTAATCCGACCGAGATGGAGGATAAGCCAGGGATAATGTGCCGTAGACAATATTTAATTTATTTCCACCCGCCCTTTTAATTTTGCTTTTTCACACTACTTCTAAAAAAGGGGTTTATATTTGTTACACAACAGTAACCATAAAGCAAATAAGTACACATCGTATATGTGTAGTGTGTACACTATATTACAAATACCTATTAAAAAAGGCACGTTGTTCTTAAAAGCCAGCAGCAAAAATACAACTCATAAAAGCACGAAAATTACCACGTGCTCATTGATTACCTAGGGTAAAATTACGGGCAAAAAATAATTTTGTACTGGCAACATTATCGCCGCAAAAAAGGCGGCCCAGCCCAAACCAAACAGCAGCCCTAGCGTTCACCCGCCCGCGCCCGTACCGCAACCCCCCCGGCTGTCCCCGCGCCCAGTCGACCAGACAACATAGACGGTGGGGTACGCGCATTTTGCTCTTAAGTTGCAGTGAATTAAAATTACAAATTCTTTAGCGTTGCGCTTTGTGTAAATTAAAGTGCGTGCGATAACTAATTAAAGACTGGTTTATACGCATTTTGACTTAAAAAATGGCCACAGAAGTAATAAATAACGTGCCTGAGAACACTGAGAAAGAAAAGGAGGCAAAGGAGGACGCGCCGGTAGACAATGGGCAAACTAAAGAAGAACCGCCGGCCGAAAAAGTAGAAGAAAAGACAGAGGAGAAGAAAGTGGAACCTGCCCCGCCCAAGATCACGGTCCACAAAGCAAACTTTGAAAAGGATATCGTCTACTTGTATCAGTTTTCACGAACTCCTTTGTTGCCTTCAACTTCACCATACTGCTTGAAAGTCGAAACATGGCTTCGTTTGGCCGGCATTAAATACGAGGTAAGTGCATACACATACCTTCTGGTTTTACAATTTGGCTAGCGTGTGTTATTTTTCAGTATTGTTTTTGATTTACCTACTATCCAGCAATTATGCATACGCTACGCAAATTTTATTTCAGATTTCCATTTCTTTTTATATTTAATTTCTTTTTTCGTTCTCTTGTGTGTACAGAGTTCGAAGAAAGAAATATGTTGTGCGGAAAATACAGCGAATTTGGCTTGGCGAATTTAAAATTAAATTGGCTGTTTAGAATTGGGGATGATTGTTCATATTACGATGTTATTGTAGGTACCAATGGATCATATTTGACTGCATAGTACAATTTTTACCAAAATCTAAAGTTTCAATAAAATTTAATGGATGTCTCTAGGTCTATCTAGAACTCTACATAATTTCAACTGTATTGAAAGGCGCATTTATATTGATCGTAATACAAAAAGTCTCAACGCCAGGGTGTTACACCCGGCGCTGGCGCAGAACCGACGCTAGGTCCGCGCCTGCGGCGAATACATTTTCGCGCAAACTTGAATTAGACACAACATACAATCGGATTACCTATTCGTTACTAAATAAAAGTTACACAATCACTACGAGGGGGAAAGCACTTTAGTAGGTATTAATGCAGCGAGGTTTAGTTAATTCTTGACATAACATTTTTAATTGAATTTTAGGGCCCAAACATTAATACATAACGGAATGAAATTTGTATACCTACGTGTATCGCTGAATTTTCTAATTTCGTTCATTTTATGTTTTATGTAATTTTACAGTGTTTTATATTAATTTAGTAATTCTAATTCTATAGACAGGTAACGTTCATTTACTATTTACCAATTTGTCACTTAACTAAAATATTTACCTACCATCCTACCATCGAAGCTTTACTTTGAGAAGAGGGGAATAGACTGGGATTCACTCAATCAATTGACCCCGAATGTACCTTTAATTGTACCAAATTTATTATTATAATGACTGAGCACGTTGCATCGCCGTCATAGAGACTTTCTTGGTGGTTTAGTCCTGTTTAATTGTCCTGGCTTCGGATAATATGTTTGACGCTTATCTCTTCTGAACGAACGCGCAGCACCGGCCGTAAACCACATACTCGCTTACCATCTGGTGAGAAAGCGGTCAAACGTGAGCGTATCAATTAAGAAAAAAAGTAGGACGAAACATCCTTACTCCAAATCGAAAACCATTCTTGGTCGAACGTCGGGAACGCGGGACCGATTTCTCGATATAAAAGACCGTTATAATAGTTTAACATAAGCATTTTCTACCTTCTTTGCAGACTGTACCTTGGATATAGATTTCTAGATAATAATATAGTTTAAAGGAACACCATGCCCAGCAAGGTTTAAACGGAAAACATGCATATGCCTGAAAAACGTGGTATCCAATCTTACGTTGTTTCTCACGCCTTCACTCTCCCTGATTTATTTTAAGTTACTGCAGCTAATGTCTTGAATCTGATTTAAAAACTCAACTGTGTATTTAACGTTTAGATACATCTGAAAAAAAAACGTTGCTTCCGTTAGTGCTTCAAAAAGCTTCGCCGCCAGAGTTGGTCCAAACTCCTGACATGCAACAAGCGCAAGACATATTTTAGTAAGTTTCGGCCAGTAACTTATTTTGAAGATAAAAATAAAAAACATGGTGGTAAATACAAAGTTGGGTGGGGTCACTTGAGTGTCTATAGTTAACATATTAATGCAGTACCAGACCGGACCGTCATTGCGCTTGGAATTTAATCTGTGGCAAAAAGGTCAATTGGACGCATTCTCTTGCGCTATCATAGGAGGTGGACATCGATAAAGTGCAAGCCAGTCTTCCGATGAGAGAAGTTTTATTAGGAAGGGACACTGTTCTATCTGCTTTATAGTGTTATAATAAGATTTACCTAGGTACTTGATTTAAATGAAATCCGCATAGAGACATGATATTTTTATAAGGCTCAGCTGGATTTGATATTGTAAATGAGTCCGATTGCACGAAAAAATATGTCACGGAAGACAAATCCCTAGAGAGATAGAGGCCGCCTCGTTTATTTATGGGGTCAAGTTGGCATAGCACCCTTCAGAGAGTAGACCACCCTCTACGAATAAGTTCTAAAATTAGAGCTTACGCAAATAAAAGGCGGTTTGTTACGACTTGCACAAAGAGAGGAAAATCAACAAACAATTACAGTGAACATCTAGGTATATAAATCTTTAGGTACATATGCAGCAATGTCTCATTAAGAGGAAAGATGTCATCGTAAACTAGTAATACGCAATGAACTCGCAATTAATAATATAAACAAGTGCAAATGCGGAGAATTATAAAAATACGCAGCGGTCCAGTAATGTTTTAGGAAATATTGTGTCCATTCACCAACGTTCTGCATTCGGTATTAATAATAATAATAGACACGTTATAAGCTTCCATGTGTTGTGTAGTCTCTCGTTAGCTAGTGTGAGGGAGGGTGTAGGACGTGCGGTATCCGCCCGCGGCCATTGCCCTTTAGTATTAACCTTGTTCATACATACCTACATTAACATACAACCATTACCGTCGGGACAATAAAACTATAAATACCCCTCACACTCGATACAACTTTCCACTTAATAACTTTAGTATTGTTATTGGGTGACACAAACATTTGGTTTTATTTTTATTTTAGTAGTTATTGCTACAGTGTGAATGAATAGCATCCATACGAATTATTCTCAGTAAAGACATCTCATGATGTTCGACGAGTAAAAGCAGTTTTAATCATATCCACTAACAAAACTGCTGTGACTTCGCTATTTTTCTGCTAAATAAAACACGACGTGGCAATTTTATGCAGATAACTGCATAAATGTGTCGTAACTGACTGCAAAGAGCTCAACCTACCTACCACCAACAACCGGCATACTGTCATAAATTATTTGTAAAGTCATCAACTAAAGTGTTTCACAGAGTTAAATAAAAAAAAACTTTTTTAATTTGCTTAAAGTTCACCACCACAAATAGACACCTTTGTATTTATTATTTTTAATTGCGTGACACGTCTAACTTGTTCGAAAATATTAAAAACGGTAGTTATTTATACGCATAGAAAAGAGCTTCCGTTCGGTAAATGGTAATCGACTGTTGGCGTTAACCGTACCTAATGAATGTACAATCGTCGACACTCGAAGTAGACATAAGATAGAGTAGATAAGACAAATCGTAGCCTGCGCATGACCACAACGAAGCTCGGTCGATGAACTCTTAAGCTCCGATGGGCGGCAATTTAATAAATAGAGACTCCCAGTTGGTCATTAATTTCTAAGATATACGATAACCCTTTTATAAAGTGATGCAGTTATACTGGTTAGTACGAACTAACAACAGTACAAACGTTGATGTCACAGGCTAGGTGAAATATTTGAAACATATTGTTTATTTACACTAACTTTGTATTATTACAAAGTACATAATATACAGAGATTCGGTTGAGTAGACAAGTCTTGTAACAGCAGTTGGTTACAGCAGTAATTCAGCTCTAGTTCATTAGGTATACACATTCCCATGTAATAAAACCGTATACCTAAGTAGGTATTTATTAATATTTTTATTTTATTTGCGTCTGTAAATGGTATGTGTACAGCCCAGCGCCAACCCTAGTCAGTTTAGCTAGATGTTATTTATCTACTACATAAACTTTCATAATAGAGAGTTTAAACTTGAAAGTCGAGGATATTTTTCTTTACCGATACCGGCATTGTAATATAAAGCTTTGTATGTTGATTAGGTGTCGCGTGTCGTGTCCCATGGTGTCAGAAACTAAAAACTACTAGGTTGTAATATCAATATCCGCTATGTAGCTTATTCTGTATAATTTTTACCTAGCTAGCGTCAGTTGCAAGTTGAAACTCATGTTTTTAAACGTAACACAAACAAAGCTGCTGAGTATTCATGTATCAATTTATGCCGTAGCAGCTCAATAAAGTTGTCATATTATGATTGAATATATTGGTATAACAATTAAACATCCTAGGCGTGCCGGAAGAATGAAGTATACTATGGTACATAATTTCCTTCCAGAGTAACAAGTATTCTAGTGCCTCTTATTAGTATGTACGTAACGTCTGTAGGTACTTATATGTGTTTAATACATGCGTAATAATTCCAACTATAAAGCTTGATTGTATGATAGTCTCGACGACTCGACTGCGTTATGTCTGAGGAATTCAGTCAGCTGCGTTTTGCGTCCGTTCCCTTTTATAAGGACAGACACTACTTTATAATTGTCATGAACTGGGGTAGTACAAATCCGTTACTTTTTGACTCCATACAGTACAAATAAATATTTTAGTAATTCCGAGTGGGGAATCTTCAAGTCTTCCATAAAGTTGATTAAGTCGAAAATGCCAACTTTTATGAGTTGTTGGAACTACTGCGCTTCGGAGAAGTAAACCTAGCTAGCAGTTAAATCGAGCCATTAATACAGCAGCATCACACACCATTAACCGGCTCTACTCAAATGAGAAAAGACAGTGAAGTAGCGATTTAAACATTCAGTAGTAATTAAATATTATATTATATTAAAACTTGTAAAGTTTTCATTTGAAGTTCTTTGATATCATAACGCTATTATGCTAACGTTTAGAAATTCGAATCGCTGATAGTACAAAAAAAAGATCATATTATTTTATAGATAAAAACAGTTGTAATGATGTTACACGAGGCGTTGTAACTTGACTGCAACGTAAGCTAGTTAAGTTAGTACATGGATAATTATAACATCTCACATAGACTTGTTCGTATTATGTGTGTAATCGATTTCGCTTGCTTTGTGAGGCATCGGCAACAATGCGTTTATTATTCCAACTGAGAGTCGTGTTTCGTGCGACGTATTTGGTGGTGGAATGCGGGTCGGCTGCGCGCCAGCCCTCCTAGCTACATTTGCACGACGGAAGTGCGCGTTGGGTTGCTTAATGCTACTTTGCAAAGTCATTAATTCGTATTCGACTCAGATAGGTTCTATA